TCTTGTCTAAAGACCATTAAATAATTGGTTCCATGTTTATAGTATATATAGTTTTGGTCCCCTTTTTTCATAATCACCAACTAACGTCTAATAATTAACCAGAGGAAATATACAAAATTACGAACCGAAGGGGTACATTGCGCTTTGAGGCACACGTTCTGGAAGAAGTTGGCTCCTCAGTCCGGCAAGGTACACTGTCCCAGGTGATCTTCCAAGGTATCTTGGCTGCGATCTCTTGGCAGGATCTTGCAGGATGTGAACCAACGACCGGGCACCATGACATAGAAACACGTACAATAATTGGCCGATGTGGACCATACATAGAAACACCTATGACTGACTTAGCTTCTAGATTAAGGTCATCGCATCCTAATAAAAACTTCTAAGGAAATACTCGTCAGTTTCAAATTATAGGTCATTATAGATTTATCCTAACTTAATTTTTTTAGTTTTGACAAGTTTATAGAAAAAAAAAATGTAAATATCTGCAACATCACTAGACTCATTAGATACGTCATGACGTATATATTGATAGTGTATTTATTTGCTATCGTAGATGTTAATATATTTTTGTATATAAACTTTGGTCAAATGATTTAACGGCGTCGTGCTTTCAGTAGTAGGCGACGTTCCCGTCGATAGCGATGCGTCTATGGTGACTTCGTTAATCTCGAGATATGCCAGCATAGTCTTTCGGAGGTGCTCATAGGGGTAGGGTTTGCGTACGTGTGTTCATAGGAGTGACTGTGCGTGCATATTGAACGTCTGCGTCTGTACTTGTGTAATTTGCAAAAAAATAGTTACACAAATTTAACTTAAAGACAAAGCTAAAACGACTTACAATTTAGAACAGGGGCGTTAAGGCCACGAATCATGAGAATTTTGTTCATAAGCCAAAATATAATTATAAATTGTAAAGAGAGAAAATAAGTTAATAAAAAAACAAAAGTTATGTTATGTCACTAACATGTGGGTCCACCACTTGCCAGGTATTCTACCAAGCCGAGGTTTTCGTCAAGCGTTGCGTATTAAGAAACCTTGTTGGATTATTTGGGACATGTGCTTAGCCATCACGTGTCGTCATTTGAGAGATTCGCTGAGGTCCGGAGGGCTTGACCAACACCAAAGATCCGCCTGGATTTGCATGCATGCGCTGAGATGGCCGCCCAGAGAGATAGATCAGAGACAGTGAGCTCATTATATTAGGCTAGGATTAATTACTTCCACAACTGCGACAATGACTTGACTAGCTTGTTGGATCTTTACTTTGATGACATGTTTATTTGAAGTTTGAACCAATCAACTAGTCAGAAATTACGTACATCGTTCTTTCTCTCTCAAATCTCAATGTACGTGTTGAACAGATTGAGCTAGCTCATTTTGACGTATCTGTTGCTTCAATTGTTCCATGGAAAAAGACATCGGCTACTGAGGAAGTTGAGGCTGAAGATGAATTCGACGATTTCTGCACAAATAGAAAACTGTGACCGGGAGGATTAGAAGCTCAATGCGATCCTGACCGAGATCAGAGTTAAGAATGGTCAATCAATCAATCAATCTCAAGATCTCATGAGATAGGTGTCCAAGAAATCGCGGGTGACACCGATCGATGGAGCATCCAGAAGAAATCGCGGGTGACACCGATCGATGGAGCATTCAGAATTGACATGCAGAGCTTAACTTGCTTGTTTGACACGGGCGTGCTTGACTCCATCACACTAATGTACGACAGTGTAATCTTGCGCCGATCCTGCATTGACGGACTCAATTCAGGAGTCATATTCTGGGACGATTTGGGAGAATTCTTCCCTCGTCCTCGTCACGTACTGGATATCCTGAGATTTCAGATCAAACCAAATCGTGATCCTGATACCGTCGACCGACTCGAGACATATTTTTGCTTGGCCTAGCTATTTCAGCATCAGCTAGACAGCTAGCTTCTTACTTTGAGCTGGTGAGTAATACTATTGGCAGAAAACATCTCAATGTCTTGCATTTGCAATTAATAGAGTATCTTGCATTGATCGCGAGGTTGACAATGGTTACCTTTCTAATACTTCTTTGCTGAACCAGTGCGCTCGTCTAGCAGCCGGATCATTTCCACCGGTCATCAGCCCATCCATCACCTGCACCACGTGAAGTAGAAAGATGCATGAATTATACTTGTTTTTCTTTCTGTTAGTTAGAGATTGGTTTAAGGAAATGAAATCAGTGTTTTTATTTCAACCGAGCAATAAATTAAGTGCACTGGAGAAGGGTGGTTTGGTTTCATACCTCCATCAGATTCAGATGGGCCGGTTCGTACCATCTGTTCCATTGACGTCGCTCTCTGTGTATAAATAAAAAAAGTTTTTTTAATGAAAAAAAATGAGTAATTCTACATATGTCAGTTTCATATGCGATGCAGTTTATGCACTGTTAGTGGAGTATGTCAACTCGTCATGAATTCGCCCAAAATAAGCAAGGTCAACTCGTCATTCGCCTGAAATAAGCAAGGTCAACTCGTCAGGAGAAAGATTTATACAGGTAACACATATATACACTGCAATAGACAACAGGAATGTTTGTTTGATGGAACTGATAAGTTCACAGCAGCAGCAACGTCGCAACAACAATATATTGACACTAAAGTCAGCAGCTCTGTTAGCATCATGATTGGCTGAACAGTTTCTTCTTCAACTTCAGAATAGTATACAAGACATGCGAAAGAAACAGTCAAATATGCAAACCACGAGTTCAGGAGAGATGAACTGCATTTTTATTACTCTAGCCTCAAAATGTCAGCGCATCCTCCAAAAGTCAATCACACTTGATAATGATTTATAACATGTTCATTTTGTTGTTTCAACTGCTTTTTAATATGATCCATAGAATTTAGATGATGAACCATTAATAATCTTCCATGGAAATTCTACTATTTTAAATTAAAGTCAACTAGTACTAGAAAATGTGCCAAATATTTATGTTTTTTTCAAGATGTGTATCCTATAAAATTGCTCAGGACTAAGCATGGAGTACTGATAATAAAAGATGAAAACATTTTGATTCTGTTAATAATTATATATAGATGTATAAAACTATAAAACTGGCTTTGTGTCTGCCCTCACATACTTAAATGATTGGGAAGTCCACCACTCTAGGTGCAGCGATATAATTTGTCATGCTGGTAGTATGTTACTGTCAACATATCTTCTGTAGAATTGTGCCTGGTAATCCTATGCCCTCATTTTTGGCATGTAATCGGATTGTTTTCTATCTATTAATGAAATGACACGTGTTCGAGAAAAAAAAAATCCTATGCCCTCATTTCTAACATTGAGACTGTATTGGACAATCATATTCATTGCCTTATACTGCATGAATTCACAAAATGTATCCCAACAATATGGCAGCATATTATGTGCTCTGGTCTGCAGTGACCAGCAAATAGATAGCAGCAGCCATGAAGAACAGGACATGGCTACCTGGAAATAAGAACTTTTGTTTCAATACGCACACTGTCAAATGACTGGAACTAATCGAATGACCTGTGACATCTGAAAAATCACCAGCTATTGTCCTTAGTGCACCAGTACCAAGATGTGATCCATTTTACTCGTTGATAACACAAACATGTAAGAACCAGAACCAAGCCTATCAGTAAGTGAACATGAAGCGGCAGGAGGGCAAACAAGACAAGTGGCCTTCATTGGGCATCCTATGTAGATAGTCGCTGTAGACAATTTTACATTTTGTAAATAGGTTGCTAAGATGATTGTGTAAACTAACTCACACCCTCCTTCCATTAATTTCCAAGCATTTACAGGCATCTAAGATGAAAGTGCACATTTTGCAGAATTGTCTGTAGTTCAGGTGCTGACTAATAAAAGGCTGATAGCTGCTTTTCTGCATTTCAGATGTCTTGGGCTCCTAAGATGCCAATATCACGGTATTGGTCTCAAAAAATGAAGTCAGTTGATTATGGAATAAGGATTAAAAAACACACACACAAGACCAACCTACAAGGAACTAGTTGATTTTATATTAAGAAGAAAATAGACATCTAAATTCGCCTAGACAATGAGAGGGTACATCTGCACCTTCAACTAACTGAGCTAGGCTCAGCTTCCTAAAGAATAAGGATACAGATGTTGATCACTACAAGACAAGAATGACTGATCAGTGCTGTTTGTGTACTCGATGCAGTTCAAAATTTCAAACGGCCATAAGTTGTATCATAATGGTGAGATTGTCAGCAGGCCTCCGTGCAAAAATATGAAGCTCATAACTAACAAACTAAGACCATGCAAGGGGAAGGGTTAGCTAAACCAGCAAGGTTCAAGTTTGAGTTAATTTCCCAATGAGTTACATCAACACAGAGAGTCAGTAGATGTCCTTGCAAGGGCTGAAAAATCACTAAAATGCAACCCGTCTCACCCTGAGGACCCACTACCTACTCAAATTATCATCCCTTGATCCTCAAAAATTGATAGGAAACTCCTCTACACCCAAGACCACTCCCTCAACATTAGCCCATGGATCCAAACAGAGCCTTAAAGTTTAAAGACATTTGATGATGTTTTATGGTAACAATAATAAACTTGTTTGTAAATATGTAGTTGGAACGTAATGTGCCTAATTCTAGCATCTACATGTCAAGTTTACACATCAAAATTTTTCCAAGCATGGATTATGATGAATCAGAAAAGGAAGGTGCATATAGCATCCCAACACGAAACAGTTCAGTATGACATTGATGGTGTGATATTTTCCTTGACATATGTATCTCTACATTTGTCGATGACAAGGAACATAAGCTAGAAACAGAATAACTTAGTTGTTACAGAAGTACATGCGCACATTCTGGGGTATTGGGACCAATAGTATAATCTGTAAGACTTGTGCCATGTTTTTCAGCACTACTTCAGCAGTACTTTTCAATGGAGGAACAGTATTTTTCTCTCACAAGAAATCAGCAGCAGCAGCAGTAGCAGCCATATTCGGTCATATTCCATGCTTCCTCAAACGGCATGAATTGGACGGCTGTTTCTCTTGCTTATTTCAGGTTTATTCATTGGTGAACTCACATGAAAAGCTGGCTGCCTTGTATCCATCGATCCAATAAGCTGAAGGGAAAGAGCTGTGGGTTCCATGGAGCCAGAGCTGGCCTCACCAATGCTGAGCTTAGACATACCAACAACATCATCTGCCTTAATCGCCTCCTTACCATTCAAAGGAGTTGGTTTTAGGATTTCATGGGTTGTGCCTGCTTCCTCCACATGGGCAACACTTGGAGGCCAAAGAGTTAGTGAAACAGGGACAAACGCAGGGTAGAATGCTGGCACCGTCGGAACAGCTATGGTATTGAATGGTACACTGGAGTGCATCTCCAAATCTGGTAGTGTCAATGAAGGTTCTGCATATTCAGATTCCTCATGCTGCCTTAGCTGAAAAGTTGGCAATTGCTTAGCAAACTCTGCTTCCTTCTGATGCCCAAGATGTAAGGTCGGCAGTTGATTTGAACTTGTAGCTTCATCTTGAGTATTTTGGATAGTAATTTGTTCCACAGCAGTTAGAGACTCGTCCATTGGCTGCAGATTGAAGAGAGCAGCACAAAGATTAGAATGAAAGCGCACAGTGAATACAGACCAGCTCCAACATTAGAGTATTACAAGAAAAGAGAAAGCATACCATTTCTGCAACCATGTCAAACAAGCTTGACCGCCTCTTCCGTCTTGATGAGTTTGTCTGTCTAATAAAGTACTTTTGAGCATGGCTTGCCACTTGAGTTGGGGTCCTGGAAACAACAAAATTTCGAGATATTCCACGCCAGTCTCCCTTACCAAGCTTCTGAAGACCCATCAGAAACATTATATGCTCTTCTTCAGTCCAAGGTGTACCTGAAGTACAAAAGTAGTCCCTTTAGAAGTGGTGATGCGCACACCAAATAACTATAGAGGGAAAAATACACAATAACACATTTCTCCAAAATATATTCATTTCAGAGAAAACAGTTGTTCCCTTGGAATTTGGCTAGCATGAATCTAAAGTTCATTTGTGCAAGATTCCACTCTTAGGCACAAGACCACCCCAGAACCACACGACCACAAGAATAGTCCCATAAAGGTCAAAGAAAAGTAAACTTATAATCTCATTGTTGGGTATGTTTGTTTTGAAGACTGGAGAAGGTGACTGGCCTAGGCATCCGATTTTGGACACTTGGGGTCGTATAGACCTGCCTAGCTAGAGCACTCCAGGCCAGGGTACGAACCAAACAAGTTATTGCCCACAGTTCCATTCCTACTCTACTGGACTGACAAACTGATATGTATAACTTCTACTTAATATAAATGAAAGGTGGCTCCTGTATGTTCGAGAAAATAAAATAAAAGGTGGTTCTCCTGCTAATTCACATGAAAAAAGGCAAATAGGCTTTGTCCCCATCTGCATTTTTTCGAATCAAAATGTGGAGACACCTAAACAAGAGAGTTTTAGATAATGTCAAACTCACATGCAACAGACGGCCTTAAAAATAGTTTTCAAGAAAAGGTAAGAACATTTACATAATGAAACATTGAATATGCCTAACTTAACTACCTAGAAAAAAGGTAAAAAGGCCATGACAAACAAGCTTTGAACAACTAGACCCACCAGCTAATTTATTTCGCAAGCTATCTATACTCAAATTCTGGTTAAGAGAAACATGATAAGAAGAAATATATGCTGATCCCAAAGTTAAGTTATTTCAATTGGAATCATAGGCAAACAGCTGTAGCAATACTATGATGCGCTGAGTTTAAGAAGTCATCAAATAGCGGAAGTGGTTCAGAACTCTTACGGAGAAGAAGAGATCCTAACTTATAACATTTAAGCTTACATTTCTAAGCAAGGCAAGACAGGCCCTTGGTGGAGGATGATAAGATTTCCATATGCTTATTTGTTACATGAGACGAAAAAGAACATAAGACTCGGAAGAGGTAGTCAGATATTGTCTACTGACGAGATAAGACATGGAGCAGAAACTCCAATCAATGCATAATATTGTTTCCATACAAAATGAATTATTTCATCTGTGTGTGCATTCTCTATGTTTAAAACCATAGTACAAATGATAATGTGCTAAATATTATCTTGCTCTAGGTACCTTCATGGCAACTTGGTCAACACACATTTTTAGCATAAAGTGTACGAGAGACCACTTAAACTTGATGCACATGGTTTAAGACCTTCCAAATTTAAAAGCAACGGAAATAGGATAGTCCAGCAAGCATGATAAACCATTCAGTTAGCAAAGTCATAACTGTCAAGCTCTACGGCAGATTAAGGGTTTGTTTGCTTGTCTGAATTCTGGAGAAATTTGGATGGTTTGGAGGAATCTGTAAGAAAAAAACACTGTTTCGGATGAAAAAATAAGTGGATCAAGCTGGGTTTAAGGACACGCGAACGGAGGCTAAGCATGATAAACTATTCAGTTAGCAAAGTCATAACTGTTAAGCTCTACAGCAGATTCGCATGGAATTATCTCATACAAGGGAATTATTTTGAAGGTTTTGCTCTCTCTTGCAACATGGAATTATCTCAAACTCACAGCAGTATAACTTATTCACCTCATAACCATTAGCGCAGCTGATTCAACACCAATACCATCGTATGTAAGAAAAAGCTAGTGATACTATATACTCTACCTTAACCTGTAAGCAAACCATGAAGTTGTTTGGTTCCTACAGTCCCTTTAAAGCCAAGTGCCAATAATGTACTGTATTGGACAATCACTGATTAAATAACATATCCCTACCAACACAGATGCATTAAAGAAACATACGGTCCACGCTTAGGACTGGTCAAAACAACTGGGAGTTTTATATGCCTAGATTCTTTTAGGATCAGATGATTAAAATAATAAATTAAAGGTGAAAGAGACATGAAGGGGACACTTTTGTGGACTCTGTTGTCGTGGCCAGCCACTGACTCTCTCGTGAGATGTGATATATGAAGATATTGTGATGCACATGTCAATGTAACTTAATCAGGTGAGAAATGATATTTAGCTGATTTGATTTGTGTCGGCCATTCAGGACGGTTTCTGACGACTCCATCAGTCCATCCCCAACAATAATAGCGTCAAATATTTGAGTGAGTAGCAGATAAAGTAGTAAAAGGGAACACGATTCTTATAACATGTGTCCAAAAATACTGATATCAAGTGTGAATAGTTTTTTTTTAATTTAGTTTCCTATGGAAATTTTGATTGCTTCTCAAATGGAGCAGGGGGGCCTACCACTCTTTGATCTCAATCTCTACTATAATGGACCAATCAAAATTGTACTAGGTCCTCAAAGGAAAAAGTCCCCCGCTGAGAGCCTCCAACCATTGTGCACACAGGAATTCATCTGCATTAAAATCAAGGGCTAATAAAACACTTAAACCAAATCCGATGACCACGATTAGATGTGGGATGCCACGCTTCTCACCCCCACGCCCTCCTCGCACGCCGCATGCCGCGACCCGCCGCGACTGCGATTTAACGCTCGAAGCCAATCATCACCGAATAAAAAAAATGCGTTCAAAACCTTCCGGGCCGACGCCGCGCCGTTCGACATTGAAACATTCCGATCGCCCACGCCCACACCCTTCGTGGAGAGAAGGAGGAAGCCACGGTGCCCGTACGCGCCCACGCCCTTCGCGGAGGGGAGGAGGAAGCCGCAGTGCCTGCATGTCGTGGCACGGCGCCACCGATCGCCCGCGCCCACACCCTTCGCGGAGGGGAGGAGGAAGCCGCGGTGCCTGGTGAGCTGGGTCTGAACGACGGCGAGATCCATGTGACCGTCGACGACATTGCCCAGGTACTTAATTATAAGTGCACATCTCTCAGATATGCCATGAATCTTAGTCACTGCAATTTGCAAAAGCATCTTGCTACTCAGAGCGTCGACCTCATGTCGTCGCACAACGTGCAACCTTCATCTGCCTGAACGACGGCATGCTTTCATTGCTATATTGCCTTAGTTTGCCGGACGTGGTGAGAAAACCCTGCTGCCTGTCGCTACTGTCGGCCGGCTGGCCATAACTCCAGCGCCGCGACGAACGCGCATCAGGCCACTAAACTCGGGCAGCCCAGCTGCATCTACGGACTAGCCGGCAGAAGATCTGGCCGGCCACATCTCATTGTCATCGCAGGTACTTCACAATGTCTACTATCAGTATTATAGGGACTCTGAAGTCTGATCATGAACGATTTCCAATGTGACAAATACTCTGCATTTGTTCTAAAAACTCTGGGAGTGAAAAGTTACAAAAAATTAGCAGCGAACCAAAGGAGCTTGATGGCTTGACCCTGGCAGCCTGGCCTGCAGTTAACACACTATGTTACTACTAAAAAAACTAGAAAACATGTGCTCTGTCTGGTTTCAGTTTCAGTTTTAGTCATGTGCTAGAATCTCATATATGCAAAAAAAATTGCATTGAGTTCAAATAAAGTATCTTCGTAAATATGGAGCCTTTTTCTTTCTCAAGTTTTTTCATATCAGAAGTCACTTTTTTCCACCATCTAATGGATTAGATGTCAACAATATTTTTTTCATTCTAGATCAATATGTACCGGTGCCATTGTGCAACACTGCAACTTGACTAATATAAAAAAATACTAAATAATATTCATGTGTTGCAAATGTCAGAATTCCTTTTATTTGTGAACTGAGGTACTATAGAATTCTATATACAACTCAATTTACCGAAACCAAAAGTTCAGTATTCAGATGGGACAAGAGTAACTATCCCACGATCAATAATCCTGGTTTGTTCTAATTGTTCTGAATTTCATTGCATGACTATGATGAATGCTTGAGCTACATATCAGTACTCACTTTTGGGGTCTGTCTATATAAAAGAAAAATAAGTAGAAGGAAAGAGCAAAAAGATATACCTCCCTTGCATGTTTTTTAAGATCTTACTATATGGTCCTCCTTGACTTTCATGCTTTAAAGTTCCAGTCATGTGCTTTGTTTGGTACTCTGGTTACAGATTCAGTTACTAGCACAGTTTATAGCTAACACAGATAATATATGTTTCTGGCTTAATTTTGATGCAAGGTATGCCAATTTACGAGTCTGTTAAATTTGTATTTGACACATAATGTCAAATTAGTTCTGTGCCAAACCAAATATTCACTTAAATCTGTACCCAGTTATCTTATCTTGGAGGAAACCCTGCTGCCCGCCGCTACTGCCGGCTGAAGATCCTCGCTGGTACTTCGCAATGTCTACGCCCGGAGATACACACGATGCGCTAAGCGATATCACCAACATCGCAGGCATGCTTTCAGTATAAACAACACTTTCGTCTGAATTATGACATCTGAACTTTTGGATGTTTACACAGACACCTTTCATTCAGCGGGTTGAACGGAGATGTAACTACATGTTTTCAGTCACGTTAATTCTGTAGTGAATTTTAGTCAGTGAAGATAAATTTGTGTTTCTGAATTCTGATATATTTTCAGGGATTTATCACACAATAAGTTGGAGGGCTCAATTCCTGATGTCTTTTCACAGCTGCCATCTCTCATGGTTATGTGAGTTTTCTGATCCCTGTTGACTTTCATGTCTTAGAGTTTAGCTATAAACAATTGCTAATACAAATCTAATCATTAAACACTACTCAAAAATGATTTTTAGACTGGTCCATAATTTTTAGGACTACACTACTTGATTTATGGTGGAGGCGGGCGCCTGTTGGATGCCCGGCCTACAGCACGAGGATCGCCGCTGTCATTGCTTGCTCTTTGCGAGTTTTACTGATGGGTACGATTTTTGAATGACAGGTGTCAGGAGCTGTTACGAGAAGGAAATTAATAATTTAGCTTATTATCTGCCATGTACAGCTATCAACTTCACTGAGAATGGAATTCTTGGCGGACATTTTGAAGAGCCGAGCAAACGAATGTTTTGACAGCTTCCCTAAATATCTCCAAGTCATGATTAAGGACTTAGACAGAATGTAACTTAGATGGTTAATATGAGAAATAACTTTACTATGCCTTCTTATACAAAAGTGTTTCCCAGATTGTAAACATGCTTAAATACAATTGTGTAAAAGTTGAACTATGAAAAAGAATCATTGGTTGTTTTCATGTGGATCCCCAAGATAAAGCCGTGGCATTAGCACATGCATTATACTAGTACTCGAAAGGGCACTATAGCAGCTCTGGTTTTGTCATTATGTTCAGCGTTGCCATTTTAGTTGCCTGTGATTCTAGGGAACAAAGGGAGAAAACTAAAAAGGAGATCAAAAACATTAAACATGCCATGCAAATTACCCCCACAGAATTTCAGGCAGTGGAGGTTGTCGATTGATAGAAAAATGGGATCTTTCTTCTCTTGACTCAGAACAAAATGTACTGATACTAAGTACCAACCGCCCGGCGTGCTCCATGATGCAGTAGGCACATGCACATATAGAACACTACGAGTGCAACATAAGCAAACAAATACAAAAATGAAGTACAATTAGCGGGCAAAGAGACAGCTTTCGTAGTTTCACGGTCGGACATGGCCGCAATTTATCGAGGAGGAGCGCATTTGAGAGATGAGAAGCGCTTCCAAAAATCTTGGCATCAGCAAACCAAAGGAATGGATCGATGTCGAAAAAAGCCTCACCTTTCTTGTGTTCGACGCGGCCATTTGTCGAGCAGGATGCATGCCCGGGATCATCGAAAACATAGCCGGCCCCGCCATCTCCTCCTCCCCTGCCACCACCCACTCCTCACGCCGACGGCAATGAGCCCCCGGACCCACCCCCGAGCGAGGACGCGATGCAGCTCATGCTGGCGCTCTTCTTCATCGCCGCTGGTGTCGGCGCCGTTGTGAGCCGCACGCCAAATAGCCTCACCCCGCCGCCGCCGGAGCGGGCGGGGCAGGTGCGCGAGTTGTGGTCGTTGTTGCTGCAGTGTGAGCACCGCCGCGTCATCGTCTCCGGCGGGGAGGCTCACATACGTGCAACGCAAGCGGACGCGTGGGCTTCGTACGTGCGACGAGCAGCGAGCGTTCCAAATGCGACAGCGTGTGCTCTGGGTTGCTCTCTCTTGACGATATTTTTGGGAGTGCGATATGTTTTTAAAAGAACATGGTGAGACGAAATGACGAAAAAGTACACCACCTTCAGTTTAATGGGTGGCGGTAAACTCCGACAAAACGCAACCACTATTCCTATTTCTCTTCG